AAGAAAAATGTGTTTTTCGTGATGTGGAGAAAGAGAGAAGAAAAAATGTAGGTTCCCTACAAAGGAGGAATACTCATTTCCGGAAGCCACCGTTATTCCCATTCTGTACTAAATGTCACCCTGGGTGTACCAAAGAGAGCAGATGATTTCATCAAAACTGTATTTCAAAAATGCCTTCACGTGGGAAGTAAAGTCCCAAGACTTTTAAAGAACGTGGATCAAGGTGACACACTTTTAATATATCTTCTCCAAGTCCTAACCAACAGTATAGTTCTGTTTTCCAGTTTCGCTCTCTGTGGTGGTCAAAATCTTGAGTTTAATTTGGGTGAACTGGGGGACACGCTTGGGGAGAGTGACGAAAGGGTACCTATAGCCATGCCTGTGAATGCATGAGCTCCTGCGAGCAGTCAAATGAATCCCACTTTGGCCACTTATTGGGCTAGGGACTTCGGCTTTTAGTGTCGCTTCGTAATCCGTGAGTGGGGAATGCATAACAGACTCATATCAAGGGATTAACTGAGATAACACAGACCAAGTTACATGGGGCTTTGGCACATAGTTCTAATTGGAATTCAATAAGTAGAATCATTATTATCATCTTCTCCTTTTTGAGACGGCTCAAGAGTGCTCTAGAAGTCCGTAGGTGCCTTGTGTAGTTCAAAACTACTGCCATAGAGTATTCTGAGTTGTATTACTTAACTCTGCTGAGAAATCCTCCAATGTTCTTTCTACAAGTTATATAGTAATCTCATATTTAAAACCAAAACACCAGGCCAGGCACGGTGGCTCACACCTGTAATTCCAACACTTTGGGAAGCTGAGGCAGGCAGATCACGTGAGGTCAGGAGTTCAAGACCAGCCTGGCCAGCATTCTGAACCCCTTCTATACTAAAAATACAAAAAAAAAAAAAAAAAAAAATGCCAGAGTCTGTTGGCACACGCCTGTTAGTCTTTAGGCTACTCGGGAGGTGGGGATGAGGCATGAGAATCGCTTGAACCTGGGAGGAGGGGGGTTGCGTGACGCTGGACGATCACGCCACTGGCGACTCCGGGCCTGGGTGACACAGTGGGAGATTGTCTTAAAAAAGAAAAAATTAAAAGAAAACCTCCATTTTAGGAATACGTGCACTGAAAACCTATTTTTTCACTGATTCCCCCTCTCACACTTATTTCCAGGAAAAATGATTTTTTAGTTCTTCTAATTTTCTGCTCAACCCGTGGGCGTCCTGGGCTTCTGCCTGTGACACTGTTAGCACCCATAGCTCCTCAAAGCAAGTCACTGTTGTGCCCATGTCAAGAAGGAGGGCACAAGAGTGCTCTCATCCTCTGCGCCCGTTCATGCTCCCAACTGTCTTTCTTCCCTCACAGTACTTCTTCTTGCTCTATCTCTTCCTTTCAATAAATCCTTATAGCAATGACCATATATGTTTTTATCTTTAGTACAGATTTCCACTTGCTCTTTAATTTATTAATATATATATAGGTTAATACATGATTTATATAGGTTTATTTGAAAGGCCAAAAAAGCAACTTTCCTTTTGACGACTAATACGTACCAAATATTTTATATCATTGTTTCAGGTTGCTTTTTTTCTAATTTTGGCTGTTACAGTGCTCATGCCTGTGCGATCTGGCATGGAGGCCTAGGTGGGTGGATCACTTGAGAGTCAGGAGTTTCGGCCAGCCTGGCCAAATGGGGAACACCCGTCCTACTGAAAACACAAAAATTAGCCGTGGGTTGGTGGTTCCACCTGTACATCCCAGCTACTCAGTAGGCTGAGGCAGGGAGAAATTTGCTTGAACCAGGGAGACAGAGGTTGCAGTGAGGCCGACGATCACACCACTTGTACTCCCGCCTGAGGTGACAGGAGGGAGACTCTAGTCTCAGAAAAATATTTATCTATATAGAGAGAGCTATTGTATGATATATAGATTTTTTTAAATGTTAACCACACTCAGCTTAAAAAAACATAAACATTTATCAGCCTTAATAAGGCCTACAGGTTGGGTTTATCCACCTTTCCTGTTGTTATGCCACGAGGCTGACAATGAGATTATCCTTGTGTATCCCCATTTTATTATGTGGTGCGTATATATCTGGTAAGCTAAATTCTAGATGAGGATTTCCTAAGTCAAAAGGGATGGTCCACAGGTCATTTGTTAGATAAATATTCTGGATTGCCTCCCAGAAGTTGAAAACAGCTTGATTCGTTTGTTTTTTGAAGTTTGGCAGATGCCTAGAAGTGTTAAAGGTGGCAACCTTTAATTGACACGGAAGCAGGAAAGGCAAATCTCTACTTAAGTAATTTCTGATTAAAAACATATAAGCATTAACAATCTCCTGTTTTCCCTGGGAGGCACATCATGTAAACAACTCCTGAGGGTGCCTTCAGTTACTTGGGGCAGGCGTATACTTCCATTCTGGTGATAATTCCTGTAAGGATCTAATATTGCTCAGACTGACAGGAATGATTACTTCCTGCAATGATTGGTAATTTATGGAATCAGTTCAGCCACACTTTTTGTGACTTTGTTTACTTTAAAATGCGCATTGCTACTTAGATATTTAGAGTGCCAGTCTTGAGTTTCAAGTCTTGAAAACAAAAATCCTGCAAGGCAGAGGCCTTGGCAGTAGCCAGATCGTGGCATGCATATCCAGCCTGGAGCGCACAGAGCAAGATCTTGTCTCAAAACAAACAACAACACAAAAATCCCCACAGGATATATAAGTGTCTTCAGATTGGAAAGCATAAGGGAACAAGCAGGGATGATTTTAACAAAGGATTTATCCAGAAATACCAACAACTGTCAGATTAGTAGAGTCCTCTGCAGATGCGATGTCATGCGTGTCCTTGGCGTGCTTGGTGTGTGTGTTGTGAGCTCTCCACGTGTGTACGAAGCTGTTGGTTCTTATCTGCTATCTAGAGTGTTTCAGTTGGTTTCGTTTTTTCTTGGTAGAAACTGGCTGCAGAAGCATTTGAGTAGGTGTCTCCTTGGGTTTCCCAGGCAGGAGTTTCATCAAAATGTTTAGGTCACAGCACTAACATGTATATATACCATTTCATACGTGTCCCGGTTGGCTTTACTCCACACTGGTGTGGTCCTCATGGGGAGAAGGGATTCCCTGACACAGTTGGCTGAGTCTACGCTATGGCCAGGGTTCAAGGGCATTTTTTCTATTTTTTTTTCTTTTTTTTTCTTTCTTATGGCTGGGTGTTGACCCACTATTGATTTCAGGGGATCTAAATAGGGCTTGCAAATTTGCAGTTTGAGGACCACACTATGTATTTCTCTAATAGAGGGATTTCAGGGGCTTTGGGCCTTCCTCAGTTGTGCGTATCTTGCACATGTTGCCTCCCGCCCTTGGAGGATGACAGGGACTGTGTGACTCAGCTCCCCTTTCCCTCATCCCTCAGTATTTTTAGACGTAAATGCTTCTTGTCTGATTGGTGTTTGAATTTTATTTGAACTGAGAATCTCTTATACATGTATTTATCAGTTCCTTTAGTTTTCCTCTTGTTATGGAGCACCAATTTTCTTTCTGTTGAGATTGGTTAGCTCCTTTTATCATGGATTTATAGGAGTTCTTTACAATATATTCTGGGTATTACTAATCTCTTTCGGTTATATAATTTTCCTTCTTTCTTTTTTAGAGACAGAGTCTCGCTCTATTGCCCAGGCTTGGAGTGCGAGTGGATGTGTCGATCTAGCTCACGCCAACCTCCTGCCTCTTGGGGTTCAAGTGATTTCTCACTGGCTCAGCCCTCCGCAAAGTAGCTGGGACTATCAGGCACCCGCCACTGCACCTGGCTAATTTTTGTATTTTTGGTAGACGTGGTGTTTCGCCATGTTGGCCAGGCTGGTCTCGAACCCCTTACCTCAAGTGATCTGCCTGCCTCAGCCTCCCAAAGTGCTGGGATTACAGGCGTGAGCCAGTGCACCTGGCCTGTTTATTTCTTTTTAATGAATTGGAAGGGCTCATTTGTACTGACGCAGGTGGGAAACTGGGAAAAGAGAACGCCTGGAGGTTTTCGTGAAGTTCCTGAGGTGGGAATGGGGTTCCTGTAGCTTAGTGGTTCTCCTTGGGAGGGATTTTGTCCTCCAAGGCACATTTGGCAAAGCCTGGGGATGTTCTGGTTGTCATACTGGGAAGGGAGGTGCTAGTGGCATCCAGAGCTGAGGGACGCTGCTCAGCCACCTTCGATGGACAGGGTGGCCTGGCCCAGGTGGAGAATGTGGCCTACCCCGTGTAGAGCTGGGCACCAGCAGGATGCACCCCTGTGGTTAACCAGTACCCACTGGGTGCCGAGGCGACACGTACTGCTGTGAGACAGGACGCAAGTCCACGACCTTGACCATCTCCTCTCTCTTCCTCCCCCAGGCAGGTCTTGACGAGCCCTGCCTGGGCTGACGCGTGCGGAGGATGGAAACACTTGCCCGGCAATGTCTCTGGGCCGCCTCCTTCGCAGGGCCTCCTCCAAAGCCTCGGACCTCCTGACCCTCACCCCTGCTGGCAGCGGCAGCGGGTCCCCCTGTGTCCTGGATGGAGAGATCATCTACTCCAAGAACAATGTCTGCGTGCACCCGCCGGAGGGGCTGCAGGGGCTGGGGGAGCACCACCCAGGTGAGCCAGGGCAGGCGAGGCTCCAGGGTCACAGAGCCCAGGTTATTTTCTGAGTGAGGGCTCTCAAGGCCCTGGGCCACAGCACGTAAGAGAGACAAGTGCGTCTGGTTCCTTTTCCAGAACGTGTAACTAACTGCAGCTGCCCTCCCGGAAGGAGGGTCTGGGGGTGTTAAGTGTGGCTCATGGCAGGCTGGGTGAGTCCCTCAGCCCTGCTGCTTCCAGAGGGAGGGACAAAAAGATGGGTTAGTGATCCCTGAGGCCTGCCTGCCCCCTTGTCATTTGTGTGAATGACTTGTGACAAATAAATGCATTGCTTTTTTCATCTGTTGCTTTATTTAATTTGCACAACCACCTCATGGGCGTGGCCAGGGCCCCAGCAGGCCTTTTAGGTAGGTAAGGACGCTGGTGTTCAGAGAGGCTGAGGGACTCTTGGCTGCACAGTGCCAGTGTGCGGTGGAGGTGGGGCTGCAGGGCAGTCTCTGGACTCTTTCTTCTCATTTCTTCCTGTTGCCGTCCCCTTCCCTGGCTGCTAAAAAGATATTTCAGGGCCCTGCAGCCTAGCTGTGGCCTGCACTGGCACACCCTAACATTTGCTTGGCCTGGGCAAGAGTACAGACAGAAGCCCCAGACAGATGGCAAAATAGTAAAGTTATTGTCTGGCCACGGTGGTTCACACCTATAATCCCAGCACTTTGGGAGGCTGAGGTGGGAGGATTGCTTGAACCCAGGAGTTCGAGACCAGCCTGGGCAACAGAGTTAGACTTCATCTCTATTTAAAAACAAAGTTATACATTACAGTGAGATCTGGGCACTTTATACAAATTATGTTTCAGTCGAATACTGAATACATTTTTAAACAAGACAAAAGTTTAAATCACGCCAATGAAACATTTAAAGCGAATGTTCTGTCCCCCTGCCTTGATAAGTGTATCTTTAAAGCCACTGGCTGGTTGGCTGCGGCTGTGTGGGCAGGGGCTTCTCTGGAGTGCCCTAGAAAGGGGTGCAGGTTCTGGGCGATGCGGCCCCTTGACCCGGAGGTCGCCTGGCCTGAGGTCTTCTAGAGAGAGAGAGACCGGGCAGCAGCTGTCTCGGACCCTCTTGCTGATCTCAAAGCTGCGTGCTTCTAGGATGTGGAAACACTTCTCAGCCTCAGGCTCATGTTACCCTAATGCACAGCTGGCTGACATTCCCCACATTTCCCAGCTTCTCTTGGCAACAGGAGCAGTGCTTAGGAGATTCTAGGGGTCTGAGTTGTGGAGACCTGGAGACTGGGTGGTGGAGGCCCAGGAATTGGGATATCCCAAAGCTGCTTGATGGTGTGTTAGGAAATGCCACCTCCTGCCAGAACTGAGCACTCACCCACTTGCTTTGGCCCAGGAGAAATTGCTCCTCTCCATGTCCCCAGCAACCCCGGCTGTGACGCCAATGCTCACCTCTAAAGGTGGCCCCTTCCTCCAACAACCTGCATTTTAAAAATGCCACGAGTGCCACTCATGGTTGGAAAAGGTCCAAATACCACCCAGCTTGGATGAATTCTTTTTGTGCAATAGAATGAAGTCTCCAGCCTCCATCCCTCCTAACAGTGCTGTAAAGCCATGAAGCTGGGCATCTGGGCTGCTGGGCTCACACAGACAGGGAGGCCTTAGGCAGGTGAGCCCTGGGGCCAGGGTTGGGGATCTGAACACAGGGAGAGCCCCTGGTACTTGGAAAAGTGCATGGCAAGCCTGAACTGGTGGCTCATCGCCTGCGATCCCAGCACGTTGGGAGGCTGAGGTGGGTGGTTCACTTGAGCTCAGGAGTTTGAGACTAGCTTGGGCAACATAGTGAAACCTTATTTCTAAAAAAAAAAAAAAAAAGAAAAGAAAATTAGCTGGGTGTGGTGGTGTGCACCTGTAGTCCCAGCTATTCGGGAGGCTGAGGTGGGAGGATTGCTCGAGCCTGGGAGGTGGAGGTTGCAGTGAGCTGAGATTGTGCCACTGCACTCCAGCTTGAAGCACAGAGTGAGACCCTGTCTCAAAGGAAAAAAACAAACCCAAAAACCAAAAAGAAAGGTGCATGGCAAGCTGGTGCTCGGGGACCAGTGTCCCCTGGATCTGCTGGACGTGTGTTCTTAGAAAACACGCGTAGCTGGAATCCATTTCAAGCTCCCCAGTTCCCCCTGGTGTTTTTGCTCAGGGCCAGGCTGTATCTGAGGCCGGACTGGCACTTCACTAAAGAGCGGTGGCCTCTCCGAGCAGCTCGCCAAAGGTGCCACAAGGGCCTCATCCACAGCCTCCTGGCCTCTAACACACCGTCCCCCTGGCTCCTCACAGGTTACCTGTGCTTGTACATGGAGAAGGATGAGATGCTGGGAGCCACCCTTATCCTGGCGTGGGTCCCCAACTCTCGCATCCAGAGGCAGGACGAGGAGGCCCTACGCTACATCACGCCCGAGAGCTCCCCCGTTCGCAAGGCACCCCGCCCTCGTGGCCGGCGCACCCGGAGCTCAGGAGCCTCCCACCAGCCCTCCCCCACGGAGCTGCGGCCCACCCTGACCCCAAAAGATGAGGACATCCTGGTGGTGACCCAGAGCATTCCGGACGGCGTGCTCGCCAGCCCTGCGCCGGAGGACGAGGAGAAGCTGGCTCAGGGCTTGGGGGTGGATGGTGCCCAGCCGGCCTCGCAGCCTGCGCGCAGCCCCTCTGGGATCTTGTCGACAGTCAGTCCGCAGGATGTCACCGAGGAGGGGCGGGAGCTGCGGCCCGAGGCCGGGGAGGAGGATGGCTCCTTGGAACTGTCAGCTGAGGGCGTGAGCAGAGACAGCTCCTTCGACTCAGACTCAGATGCCTTCTCCTCGCCCTTCTGCCTCTCGCCCATCAGCGCGGCACTGGCCGAGAGCCGCGGCTCCGTGTTTCTGGAAAGCGACAGCAGGTGAGTTCCTGGTTCTGGGTGTGGGCTCTCGGGAGGCCCCCAAGGCCTGACCTGGGCAGGAAGCAGTCACCTGCATCACCTGTGATGCTAGGTGAGCGCTGGAGGCATCTGCCCGACCTGCCTGTGACTGTGGCTGTGGCAGGAGCCCCTCCCCGAGGTGAAGGCTTCAGCAGGGAGTCCCCACTTTCCACTCCACCGAGAAGACTGTGAAGGGTGCGCCGGGGCATCCACATTCTTCTCTCTCCTTGAGCCTTACTAGGACTAAACAGGCCCGGCCAGGTCTGACAGGTCCCTGACCAAGGCCAAGCCCCCAGGAGTCCTTGTCCCTTCTGTTCCCATCGCCGGAGGGGCAGGAGATTGCCAGTCCTCAAGCAAGTGCTTGCGAGGCCCGGTGGCATCATTAGGCTCACGCGCAGGGCTGGCCTAAGCCCAGATGTGCTGCTCCGCTTGGTCCCCAGCTCCCCGCTCTGCCCTGCAGCCCACCAGGCACGTGACCTGGCCCCCTGTGGTCCCCGGAGGTGTTAGCCTCCCTCTTTCTCATAGCTGTGGAGTATGGAACGTAGTCCCGGGGCAGTGTTGACCATATTCACCTGACTCGGCAGCCGCTCTGCACCCCGGGGAGTCCAGCCGGAGTACCTGGACTCCTTGGTGGCCACGCTTGCGGGAGCTAGAGTTGGACCCATGCCCTGTGGGGAGTTCCCTGGGTCTTGGAACCCAAAGAGACTTTCCTGAGTGGGGAGGGTTGCATGGTGCCACGAGGGTCCTCATGGCCTTGGGGTGAGTGCCAGTGAGGTCGCATAGGCATGGAGCCCCAGAGCCAGCACAGGGGCCCTGCATCCAACTTCCACAGCCCCTTCCTATGCCCTGGCCGTGGTCCTTATGCTCATTAGATTTCTAGGCAAATAATGGTGGTGACTACAGACAACAGTAAGAACTGACATCAGTCAGCGAGCAGGTCATTAACTGTTGAGCTCGTGGTGTGAGCTGGGCGCATGCTGGACGTGGGTGGTCCAGGCCTCGCCTGGGCGCTAGACACCACGGGCTGTGGATGGTACACGTGTGTGCTTTCTACAGCCCCACGCCCTGTGAGGTGGGCCCTCATATTATCCCCTGCTATCGAAGGGGAAAGGGAGGCTCAGAGAATGTCAGCAACTTGCCAGGCATCACCCAGCCAGTGCCCGGGCCAAGCTGGGATGTGAACCCAGCTGGGTCTGCCCCAGGGCTGCAGCATAAAAGGTCACCCCAGGCCGATTAAGCCAGGGAGTGGCAGGGCATGACGTAGGGACACAGGCTTTGCTGGCCTCAGCAGGGGTGACTGTGGGACAGGTTCTTCCCTGATTTTATCCCTCCAATAAGATGCAGTCCATTAGAGCCCCAGGGTGAACTGATAACATTCATCTCAATTATTTGAGAGTGCAGATAAAAGGAAGCCGTGAGCCGTGACCGAGGACTCCAGGTCCCAGGAGGCTTGCTGAGCTGGGTGGCGTCAGGGGCCAGGGAACCCGAGGGGGTGGTGGGGGATGGGGACCGAACGCTGGTCCTGGCCTGGGTCCCGCTGGCCGGGCTCAGTCGGAGCTCCCCCTGGTGGTGCCAGGCCGACAGTGCAGCAGAACCTGCGGGCGTCCCCATGTCCCCGCATCCCCAGGGCCCAGGCGAGGGGAAGGTCCCAGCTGTGTCCCAGAGAGGTGGTGGGGTTGGCCCACGGTCTTGGGGCTGAGGACTCTGTGGCAGAACCACAACCAGAACCTGGCCAGTCAGCTCTCTGTCCAGCAGCCCCATCTCGTAGGGAGCTCAGGTTTAGGAGTTAGGGAGTTGAGTGCTGGTTGAGTCCTGGCACCCCTGGTAAGTGTGAACCTGGGAAATTCTTTCTGTTCTTGGAGGCTCGGTTTCCCTGTTTGTAAGATGAGGCTGGTAATGTCCACTTTCTGGGGGTATTGTAAGAATGCACCCCGGTTCCCCTTTCCCTGCCCTCCGCCTTGCTGGTTCTCCAACCTGGCTGCATGTGGGGTGCTCCTAGGGGGAACCTTTATACAACGCTGATACCCAGGTGCCTCTAGGTTCTTCTAGAGTAGTGATTCTCACCCAGAGCCCAGTCTGTCCCCAGGGGGTGTGTGGCAATGCCAGGAGACACTTTTTTGTCACAACTGAGGGTAGGGGTGTATTGACATCAGTGAGCAGCGGACAGGGGTGCTGTGCACTCACTCTGGAAGCCAAGCTGCCCCTCTGCCTGGGACCCGCCGGGGGCCTCCCATCATTTTCAGGATGAAGCGTCATCTCCTTCACTCGGGGTCGAAGGCCCACCACCATCTGGCCCTGCTGAGGGATGCCACCTCCCTCCCTGCCCCGGCACTGTGCACACCTCCAAGTTCGTCATCCTCTCTGCCTCTAGATCTCGTGGGGCTCTCTCTGCCTCATGCCTTTGGCCAGGGATCCCCTCGGCCTGGGCTTCTTCCTCCCACTCTCTCCTAACCGGCCAGCTTGTATGTTTGAGACTCAGCTCCTGGGGCGGGGCACCTTCATGTCAGCTTTTGGCGGAGGCTTCTCTATTCCCCCTGACCCTGGGCTGAGGAGGGCACTCCCCATGGCCCCCTTCTCTGCTCTGACACTCGAGCCCCCACGGAGATACCCTGTCCGCCTGTCCGTCCCCAACTGCTGGGAGGCAGATGGTGGTGAAGGAGCAAATTTTGGGGCCCAACAGATCTGTTTCCAGTCCTGGCATCACCCGAGTTGTGTGTGATCTTGTGGCCGTTACCTCCCACGTCCAAAACACAGATTCCTCACGGGTGTGAAATGGGGCCAAGAACCCCCTTGTAGGCCGGGCGCAGTGGCTCAAGCCTGTAATCCCAGCACTTTGGGAGGCCGAGACAGGTGGATCACAAGGTCAGGAGATCAAGACCATCCTGGCTAACACGGTGAAACCCCGTCTCTACTAAAAAAATACAAAAAAACTAGCCGAGCGAGGTGGCAGGCGCCTGTAGTCCCAGCTACTCGGGAGGCTGAGGCAGGAGAATGGCATAAACCCGGGAGGCGGAACTTGCAGTGAGCCGAGATCTGGCCACTGCACTCCAGCCTGGGCGACAGAGCGAGACTCCGTCTCAAAAAAAAAAAAAAAAAAGAATCCCCTTGTAGGGCAGAGTTGGCGTGAGGGTTGAGTACCAGCCTGGTGCATGGGGTCAGCAAGCCTGGCCTGGGACTCATCCCCACCCAGAGACCGTGACTGGGGGTGCTTACCGCAGCCTGGTCCTGCTCCTGATGAAGGCTCAGAAAATGCCTCTTGGCCACGTGGCCGCGAGCTTGGTGCGGCTCACTCCTCAGGCCTGTGTCAGCCCGGTCCAGGCGGGGCCTGCTGAACGTGGCGAGGTGCAGCTTTGTGCTGGGACGAGGTGGATGTGGATGGGACTCTCCTCATTCCTCCGGAAGTGTGTGCTTCGGTCCAAGGCTGGAGTGAAAACAGCCTGTCTCCAAGACAGACTGCTGGGAGCTTTCTTTTTATTTTAAAAAAAGTAGATACGAAGGCCGGGCGCTGTGACTCATGCCTGTAATCCCAGCACTTTGGGAGGCCAAGGTGGGTGGATCGCTTGAGCCTAGGAGTTCAAGACCAGCCTGGGGAAAATGGCAAAACCTCATCTCTATACAAAATACGTAAAAATTAGCTGGGCATAGTGGTACATTCCTATGGTCCCAGCTACGCAGGAGGCTGAGGCAGGAGGATGGCTGGAGCCTGGGAGGTGGAGGCTGGAGTGAGCTGTGATCACGCCACTGCACTCTAACCTGGGTGACAGAGAGATACCCTGTCTGGAAAAAAAAGAAAAGAAAAGCAGACAAGGATTCTGAAAGGGGCTGGGTGAGCCCTGGAATCTGCATTTCCCTGGTCTTCCCTTGCTCCTGTGTGCTTCTGGCCTCCACCGCGTGGTAGACCCAGGAAGCAGAGGTGGTGCTCCTTGCTCCCTCCCCATCCCCCGGGCCTTCGTGTGATGGGACTGGAGATCTTGGCTAAGGTGGTTAATTGTCCTAGACGCTGTAGAGAAGGCGTCCCCAGCCCAGTTGCCCGTGAGAATGCCCTGGGCAGCTTTACAAATCCTGATGCCCAGGCTGCACCCAGACCAATTAAACCAGGATCGCTGGAGTGGGGGCCCAGGTATGGGAATGTTTTGAACTTCCTGGGGGTTTCTGAAGTGTAGGCAGCGTTGAGAACCCCTGCTGTGAAGGCGCTGAGAGAGAGAGAGAGAGAGAGAGAGACGAGAGAGAGAGGGAGCCTGTAGTCCCAGCTACTCGGGAGGCTGAGGCAGGAGAATGGCATAAACCCGGGAGGCGGAACTTGCAGTGAGCCGAGATCTGGCCACTGCACTCCAGCCTGGGCGACAGAGCGAGACTCCGTCTCAAAAAAAA